TAAATCAATCGACAATTAACGCCATTTTTATCCCATTACCTGAACCTCCTCCACTTGAACTTCCATTCATCAATAAATCTGTCCATCTTAGATGATATCCTGGATGATTTTCAAGAAGAATTCCCAATACTTTCATCAATTTCATCTCCTTTCTCGATGGTTTGTCGAGACGTATCAGAAGACTTTGATACAGACTTGAAGAAGGTGAAAAAAGTTCGTTTCGAGCGACAGGTGTCAGACGATAGATTTTGCTGGTTGACTGTGTCTTCCGAATTGTTAATTGAACGATCGAAAACGGTTTCAGTGTATAAATGATGTTCCGTGTGCAACAACTGAGATTTATTCACTCATAATGACCAGAGTGATTGCAAAAAAAAACTTTTTTTGCTTATGGATTTACGAATTTTAGATACTACAACTGATAAACCCACCATCGACGTCAACTTCACGGATCATTTCGTCAACTTCGTCCTCACTGAATTGCATCCCCATATGGACCTGAAAGTTTTGAATGACAACTAGAAATATTTGTTCGTAGCAGGAAAAATGTAAACGATAGCAGTTAAGAAGTAAAAAACAAACTGGGACAGCAATGAATTTAAGCGCTGGGAATATGATTTTGTACTTGTACGGTTAGTGGAGAAAAAGTTGATGCGGAGTACTTTTTTTCGGAGACAAACGCATGTTCCTTTGTGGGCAACAGTCGATTTCAACGGAACAGTTGAAAATGCAAACGAACAAAATTCCAAACGAAAATGTTGGTCAGTATCGGAACACTCATTNCTCATTAGCTGGGTATTTCGAGGAGGATAGAAGTGAATAAGACAGGAAATTCTGTCTAAAAAGGTCACTCGCTGTACATGAGTTCGCCGATAAAAGATCTGCTCTGAATCAAGTACAAACAAACCATAAAATATCGGAATTCCTGTGCTGTAATCACCCCATTTCCATCCTTATCAAACACTCGAAATGCTTCACGTATCATCTCAGAATCAGTTTCCTTCATCATACGCTTCATCATGACACAAAATTCCGGAAACTCAATCTGACCATTACCATCGATATCCACTTCGTTGATCATTTCCAGTATTTCCTGAAATGGATTTATTGATTGATTGATTGATCGACTGATTGATTGAGATCAACGAGAGTTGTTCGAACTTTTCCGACGATTATTTTCAACTTGACTTGTGAGGCAACGCAAACCAAATTCTTGCTTTCAACGTGTCCAATAGATGCTCTATCCACTTAAAGTGCGAAATATTATTGTTACTTCAGGCGCCATTCACTTTCAACTTGTGCCATTCACTGCATTAACAGAGCACACTTTTGATGAACTCGAGAATGTTTCTTGTTCGTATGAATATTTAGTTCGTTGTGATGGCTTTAGTTTTCTCGGCTCGACTCAGAGTCGTCACGCTCTAGATTCAGCAACGGCTAGGTCCCTGTTTTGATGAGAACGCATTTAGTGGTGATATAGCTGTTGGCGTTGACTGATCTTCGATTTGTCTTATTTGTGAACGGAAATGCATGCATTAGAGGTATGCCGAACGAGGAAGCAACACGACAAATTGAACGGATTGAATAGGAACAATGAAAGCAAAGCCAAGCCCATTATCGTCGAAAAGCCGTTTATTGTTGTTCAGATATCGCAAATCTCCCTAATTATTTCTCCTTCTTTGAGTCGTAACCACAAGGAAATTAGATCTCTTTGCCTTCTCTATGTTATCTCACATAAGCCAATAAACTTCTATTGCATCGAAACAGAATTTCTAATGAAAGAAAAGATTAGTTCCGTTTCTTTTTGGCTCAGAATTATTCAAAAGTATGGATTTACGATAAATTCACGACAAAAGTTACGATAAATGCATTTTCTTAGGTTTTGTTTCACATTTCTTGTTGAATTCTCAGTCGAATCTCACTCAAATTGCTATTCTGAATTGGTTTCGTTTCAGTTTTTGGATGCAGAAAATTGGAAACTTAACGAAACAATAATTAGCATTCAATTGGACAATGTGAATTCTCTAGCAGCACTAAAATATTCTAAAAACTTCACCTGCTTATTGCTATCTCCACGATTAGTTTCTAACGAAGCGTTTAACGTTCGTCGTCAGAGAACAATGAAACTTGAACTGTTCAAGTGGAACGAAGATTCTCGATGACACTACCAACAGCATTTCTGCTTTACAACTAATTTTTTCAAGCCAAAATTCATCAGTCTTTCAAAACATCGTTCAAAATTTGCAAAAAGTTAGTTCTTTTCTCACTGAATAAATTCTCAATTGATTACTGTAAATCAGTCGTTGTTTACAATAATTAATTTTCACTGATATTTTCATCGCTTCCATATGCTATCCGAAACAAAACTGCGCTTCTGCATAGCTGAAAGAAGCATAATCGTGAACGGATGCAATTGAAGTGCCGTAAAGGCGATTTCATTCAGCTCTCAACTCTATCGCTTTTATTTCAGAGTATTGCACACTACTCTGAATAGTCCCGATGCAATTCCCAGTTTAAAATAAGCGCAATCGTAAGTCAGCTTGCTTACTTATTCGTTGTTGTGCTCGAATACTTCTCAAAAAGTTCATCACTTCAAAGAACTCACTACCACCTCCACTTATCACATCTTGAATTAGCCAGATCGGAATCCAACTTTCTGCACTACCAACTGGTTGTTGCTGCTGTTATAACCGAACTTTTTGAAGACGCTACGAGAAATTACAGAACAAAACATGATGAGTTCAAGAAAAGTTGTTCGTTTAGCTCAATTATCTAGCATTTTGAAGTGAAACTATGCACTCAGATAAGTGGATAGAATGCTATTTTGATTGTGGATTATTCAAATCAACTTCGAATGGATTTTGTTTTGAGCCATAAATTATTCAGCCTCTTCTTACACATGAGCAAGCAACTGACTCGATGAATAACTTCCGTTTGTATGCATGTACAAATGTTGTTTATGAGTTCAGTACTTTCAGAGAATCATTTTTAAGCGATAATATACTAGAAACAGCACCATCGATCATAACACGGCGATACTTTTCACTACTCATTTGCAATCCTAGTTGGGTCGTTTTCGAAGAATGTTTTAAATGGAACTAGTGAGAATTACATCTGTTTTATGGCTTTTCGAACAGATGTGACCAACATTTTGCGAGTGAAATAGTCCGTTGAAGCAATTCATCGAAAATGTCAATAAACTGCATATTTATTTATTCGTTTTTGGAATTCATTTCGGACTATTTCGATCTGAAGAGATTTTAGGATACTGAAATAGGATAGCGGAATATAAAGAGGGATTTGAATATGTCAAATAAATCTCAGAGACAATCACTGGCACACGAACGAGCACACCACCAAGTGTAGTAATCTTTTGATCAACTCTTGCGGTCAGCTTTTTTCATTGAACAATTGCCCAACAATACATATCATTTGTTTAGGTGAATAGCATTGCTGGTTTTTACACGCGTGAACAAAATAATCATGGGTTTCTTTTCAAATTTTCATTTCACCCTAACACTGTCGTAATTTTTTGCAGATTATGTTTCGCTAATCTCGTTTAACGAAAATCCATCATAGTAGACGTTGAACTAGACTTACGCCTGCCAAACAGAATGCATTAAAAAATCACCTACTTAAACAAGAATGTTTTACTGAATTTTTTTGGCAGCTCATATGCCGCTGAATTAATTTGTATCTGGTCACATTTTACAATGACAAGAATACACAAATGATAATATCCATGATATCAATTAATGTTAGAATAGAAAGAAACAATGAAAATTTCTCTTAAAATGTCTTTATGATTAACAACAGAGATCACAAAATAGAGCACTGATAAATAGTTCGAAGCAACATCTAACCTGTTCAGTTGGAT